GAGTAACTGTACAGCAGAATGAGAAAAGAATCCATACAACTGGACTTTGAGTCCTTTTTGACCACTAGACTGTACTCACACTTTGATATTGTTTATACAAAAGAAGTTTCAGAAAAGATTTCGTGAAATCTCTCTCTGTACTGCTAGAATCAAAGCACCCTATAATGTTTTTAAATAACATATATAGAAGATGGAAACATTCTTCAGAACATAAGAACTGTCATATTTCAGACTAATTTTCCATCTAGTCCAGTATCTTGTCTCCTGACAATATGCAATATCATACTGCAATATCAGAGCTGCAGAAGGAATGTACTGAAAAAGGCAACTGGAATGATCTATCATTTTCTTCTCCTTCTAGCTTCTGGAAGTCAGTGGTTTAAGGCAGCGGTTCCCAACCTTTTTTATACCACGGACCGGCAAACCCATTCACAAACTTTTGGTGGACTGGTAACATTGCATTTGCATATTTGCATACAGTTATTAAGATCAGAGTTTGCAGATATCTTCAACACTAAAAAAATTCCATTAAAAAATCCTTTCCTTTCTTATCTTAAGCCATTAACACCTACGTAAACTTTGTTTGAACTGTAATCAAGCAGATGACATGAGCTAGGGCTTTTTGTTCCAGTATTCAAAAGCAGTCTAAAAGCTATTAACCCACCTGAAATTTTGGCACCATCCCATTCAGCAGGGTCTGCAACCTTTTCAAACCAAAGAGCCAAACTACATCAAAATTCAGAACAATTGGTCAACAAAGAGCCAAATAAGAATGCCCATTTGTATGACTGAAAATATACGACATAATATTATTGATAATTGACATGCTGATTAATAATAGCATAAATTAAACATTGTACTCACACACTTTATTTAATGGGACTTCTGCTGCTGCTGCATCTTTTTGCATATGTCTTTGAAATTTACAGCCCAGGCCTCTAAAGCTGCTGTGAACAGTTGGCTTCAGCTGAAGCAGCTGCCTGCCAGGTGCACAGCAGCTGGCTTCAGCCCTACAGCTGCCTCAAACAGCTGGCTTCCAGCGGTTGCTGGAGTTGAAGCCAGCTGCTGTGTGTCAGCTCAAAGGGCTGGGGTTAACCTGAGCCTTAGCCCCCAGAACTGCCACGAACAGCTGGCTTCAGCTGTAGCAGCCACCCGGTACACCCCAGTCTCCTGAGATGCCACACAGCAGCCAGCTTCAGCCCCAGAGCAGCCGTGAACAGCCCCATAGGCATGGCCTGGTAGTGTGCCAAGCCCGGCAGTCAGCAGTCCGCAGCCCGGTATTTGGAAACCACTGGTTTAAGGTTGCCTTGAATGTGGTGTTGTGTTTCTGACCATTATGGCGAATAGCCATTATGGGTATGTCTACACTACATGCCTCTGCTGACAAAGGCGTGTAAATTAGACATACCGACATAGTCAATTAAGCAAGGATTTAAATATCCCCTGCTTCATTAGAATAAAAATGGCCGTCACGTTGTGCCGGCTCAGCTGTTTGTCGGCACAAACCGACTGCCAAGACGGAGATCGGTCGACAAGGAAAGCCTTTGCCGACCGATCCCTTATGCCTCGTGAAACCTATCTTCCATGCACGTTAATTCTTTTTTTTTAAACACAATTACATGTTAGACCATCAACATCCTGTGCCAATGAGTTCCACAGGTTAATTTGAGCCATGTGATTTAGCACTTCCTCGTTTTCTTGTTAAACATTGCTGGCTATCAATTTTGTCTAACACTGCTCTATTCATTTTTTCCACACCATTCCTGATTTAACAGACCTCTTATCATATTTCCCCTTTGCTGTCCCTCCTCTAAGCCAAAACAGCCTTAGTGTTTTTAGTCTCCCTTCATATGGAAGCCATCCCACATGCTAGTCTAGATCAACTTTGTTGCCTTTCTTTGAATCTTTACCTGCAGTGCAGTTATGGTCACAGAAATACATAAAATATTTTTTTTCTCAACAGAGTTGTTTTATGTCTATTTGATTTAAATTATGAAGAAGATGCCAAAACTATAGACACCCCAATGTGTACTTAATATTGCAATGTAACCTCATCACCATTAGATGACCTCTAGAAGTCCCTTCCAGCCCTTCTAGAATAGTTTGGAATCTTATCTGCTGACCTTGGTAGCAAAACTAAATGTTCTAGTCCAGGTGTAGGACTGTAAAGCCAATGCTGTTGTGTGAGAACGAGCTCTTCCTCCATACTCAAATGTTAGTGGCAGACTCTTTATTTCTGGGACTTCGCAAGACAGAACAAATATTTTCAAGCCCTTGGTTGTGTTTGTCTGGCTGGTAGTTAGGAAAAAACAATCAGGTGGTTTTCCTGGTAAACAAGGCCAGTTTAGTTTGGGTGCACTGACAAGGGATGAGGCTAGACTCCCAAGTCACTGTACGGGTTAGACGTGCCCTTGAGGTATCAAGTGATTCGACGAAGGGGGTGGGACCAATTGGGGGGTCTTTGATAGCGGCGGGATTATGCTGATGAGGGGAGGAGCCCCAGCGGCCCAGGCCTGGGGGGCAGCTGAGCGAGATTGAGCCTTGGAGAAGGGAGCAGTGGTGGGGAGAGCGAAGGCGGGAGTCTGTCAGCCCCGCGCTTTCCTCCGCCCGGCCGTGCGCTCGGGCGCGCTGCGATGTGCAGGTAGGGAGCCGGCGGACCGACCTGCCTTGCAGCGCAGCCTCCCGCTCAGCCCGCCCGGATGGAGCCCCGCGGCCAGCCTAAGTGGCTTCTCTGCGCTTCGCCCGCCCCGG